ACGCCTCTTTCGACGTTACACGATCGGCGATCGCGACGTAGCGACAGACTCGCCGTTATCACCCCCGACAATATATATAATTTATAATACTTTTTTTGGATTTTTTTTTTAACTTTAAATCAATAGTTTTAAATAAAATTATTAATTAAATTATAAAATATACTGTATGTATTTAAAACTTTATCTTAATTAAATTATTATTTATTGAATTATAATATAAAATATCGATTTAATTATTTTTGTCCTATATTGTATATAATATTTTAATTAATTAATTATTAAATTATTATTAAACTAAAAAATTTATTTTTTTGAATTATTTTTATTTTATATTTTATATATCAATTAAATAATTTTATAATATTATTTATAAAAATAAAATAAAAAAATAATAATTATTATTATTTAAATTTAATTTATTGATTTTTTTAAATAATCCAATTTAATACAAATTTTATTTAAAATAAAAAATATATAAATTAATAGAAATATATATATATATTAAATATTTTTATTAAATATTTTATTAAAAAAAAGTTTTTTTAAAAATAAATATATAATTTTTTTAATTAAATTTGTTATTTATTTGTTAGATTTACAAAATAAAAAACTATTTTTATTTTAATTTTTAAAAAATAATAAAAGTAAAATTTTACAAAAAATTTCTAAAAAAACAAAAAAAAAATATTTTAATATCTTAATTTGTTTTTTTTATATTTAAATAAATATACCATAATAGTTATTTTGTAATTATTTTTTTTATTCAATAAAACTAAATTATTATATGTAAAATAATAAGATAAATTATAAGAATTTAGAATAATTATTTTTACTCTTCCTTCTGCACTTGAAAATTTCTTTTTTTGGAAACTTTTGAGTTGTTTACTTTTTTTTTGCTTTTCACTTTTTCTTTTCCTTTACTTTCTCTCTTCTATACCTTTTATTTTCTCTTTCTTATTTTAATCTTTTCTTTCTATATACTCTTTTATTTAAAATTTATCACTTCCTCTTTCTTTTTTTTCTTTCTTGCTAAAATTAGATTCTTCTTTCTTTTTAAAGGTTTTTTTTCTAGGTCTCTTTTTTTTTTATAAAACTTGTTCTCCATAACATTAATACCCTAACCAGTTGACTCCCTTTTTTCAAGATTATATTCAGAACTGGTAACTTTTCTCAAGACGTAAGCTTTAAAATTTTTCTCTTTTCCATGGCCTTACAGAAAAAAAACAGATGATTTATTCCTCCAAAAGATTTACATGGTTATCATTACCAAATCCAATGTTGTTTACTTGTTGATAGTTAGATTAGATACATTTAAAAAACTGGTATACAACTATTATTATTTGAAAGTATTCAAGAAGTTGTATCCTACTATATATAGAAGGATATGATAGCCAATGCCAATACAGCTAACAATGAGTTCGATTAGTTTGCAGATGTTATGCTAGTGATTGAAGAAATCTAGTAGGATAATACGTGAAGACCAGGAATTCTAATTATCTTTGCAACACAAGTTAATAATGATAATAAAAGTTTCTTACTCATCTTTTTGACAATATAGACTTATTATATAAGGTTAATGTAAGAGTTTAAATGTATCATAACAGTTTAAACAATGAATTGTATTCAAGTCAAAAATAAAACCACAAGTTTTAGGAGAGATAATTATTTTATTAACTCAAAGATAAAAATACAATCTGAGTTTTTACAAAGGTAAAAAGGTTCTCCTTTTATAACTATTCTCCGTTACATAAATAACTATAAAAATACATAAATAAAAATACATATTATTAATACATAAGTTCTTATTGGTTTTTTCAGAAGGTCTTATGTACCATAAATATGAAATAAGAGAAAAATAATAATATAATAAATGTTACGTGCACTTAATAATAATGTTCTATTTCCCAAATAAGTATAAAGATAATAAACACAATAATTAATAATAAATGATTAATAATATTCTGAAAAGTTCCATGATATTCCAGGAGGTACCGGGGTGTTCCACAAGGTTCCAAGAAGTTCCAGGATGTTCCACAGTATTCCAGAGTATTCTAGGATGTCCCAGGGGTTTCTGGTCACACAGCATGTGGCGCAGTAAAAGCAGAAAAAATTGTTACAGTTAGATAACAATATCTATAAGAAACTTCAACTATATTACATCTGATAATTTCTTTTAACAACCACTACTACACATCCAAACACTTCTCTTCTATCTTCCCCTGCCTTATACTTGTGCTAAATTCTATTCAAATACATAAATAGTGCAGCTATACATGCAAAGTTTCTTGTAAAGAGCAGTTGTCACTTTTTTTACTTGCTACAGGTATAGACAACTGCTACAGGCTTGAGTAACCTGTAATCTGCTGCAATCCTAGAAGAGTAGAGAAGATCAAATACTAGGTAATCAGATGAAAAGCTAATCTCTACTAGATGTCTGAGTCAAAGTAGTGACCACTTAACTAATTGAGCAAGTTATTTAAGTAAAATATAAGATGGAACACATTCAGCTTGCTGTACATCAAGTCACATTTGAAAAGTAAGCTTGCCAAATCCTAATTATGACTTGGAGGCCAACCTATATATAGTAGTTGTAACACTTTCATGTAATTAGATATCAAATTTCTCTAGATAACTAGATACCATTCGAAACATAATATAGGTTTTGAACTTCTTTTTTCTATATTTTTGGGTGGTACTAAGGAGCACAAAGAATGAATCGTGTTTGCAAAGTCTTACTCCTAGTAAAGAAAGATATATGTTATACTGTAAATATGTTATAAATTTTGACTGCAAGTTTAAAATTATAATAATAAAATAAAGTGTAATAGCTTTTTGCTCCTTCAAAAAAAAATTTTTAGAATAAATTAATTTTAACACAATATAATATACAAAATATATAAAATATTGATATTAATATTAATATGAATAAATATATATAATGATAATCAAAATTTTTTAAAACTTTAAAATCAATTATTAATTATTGAAAATATATTGAAATTATAAATATACTGATTTTATTTTATTTTTTTAAACAATAATAATTTTTTATATTTATATTATATGAATTATTTTTTTAAAAAAATAAATTAAAAATTAAAATTTATTTGTTTATAATCAAATAATTAACTGAAATAATTATTGTCAAAGTTATTTTCTACAAATTTTTCAAAATCGAGCACAGAAAAATTTCGGAAAAAAAATTTAAAAACAAAACAGTATTAAATAATATTATATTATATATTATATATATTTATTACCTTAAATACTTTTAAAATAATTAAATTACAGTATACAGTATATCAGTAAATAAATTGAAATTAAAAATTTTCAAAAAAAGTAAGTCATTTGAATGGAGATAAGTATTCAAATACGAAGTCTTATGTATTGTCAGATATATTTTTGATATAAACTAATGTTAGGCCAAGCATTATGTGAAAGATAATTATCAAACGCTTATATTCGTTAATCGCAATTATTCCTTTAGACCCAGCTTTGCATTCATGAAAAACACGTATAATTTAATTCTGACTAATAAAAAGATTTTTTTTAGAAAAGGCATTATAAATACTGTACATCTAATTATGGCCAGTGTAAGGAGTATAAATAGAAATACATATGTCATTAACTTGAAAGTCTATGATTTTCTAAGGAAACAAAGCTTTCCTTTTTCTTTACAAAATTGACTCTAATAATATACAAATTATAATGTCAATGGTTAATTTACAGCGATGTAATTTAACAAATATTAATCATTCAAGTCAAATTTAAGTGAGATTTCAAGAGCTTTTGTAACATAATCCAATTCTTTATTTTTGCAAATAATGTATTGAAATCATATTTTGTTAATAAATATCATTATTTTAAAATAATAATTTCAATGTATATAAAAGTACATGCCTTCATCTTGTTTCTCCATGGTTTCTTTCATTGACATATCAGATGTGCTAAATACCAATTGATTCAATTCTGGTACAGTTTTCGAGATTTCTTTAACGAAATCTTTATAGTAGTCATAATTAGTTTACTACCCGTAATTTCATAAAAACATGGCAATTATCGATTTTAAATATTATAAAGCTCGAGCTTTGATCTTTATGCAATTTCTTTATAAAATCTAAACAAACAAAAAATCACTTACCACTTTTCCTCGAAGTCTTAATTATTGGCAGCAACCTACTGGTATAAACTGCCTTTGGATGCGTCCAAAAGCGTAAATCCTCCATTTTCTTTCCCACTACGTTATTTTTTAGGAAATTTTCATAAATATTCATTCGTGCGTTTGATGGAAAACCTACAATATTCGCTTCCTCATCAGTCAAATTTTTCATTTGCTTCTTTAGTATTAACCTTACTTCCATCATATTTGGTCTTTTATTCGGATTATCATTCCAACATCTTTCCATTAACTCAACATACCACCTTGGTGCACCTTTGACCTTTTTTGGTCTCAAACCTAAGCAAATATTCAGTGCTAAGTGTACGTCATGAGCTAAATCATTAAATGGTGGTCTACATGTCAACACCTCCCACATTATAATTCCGAAACTATATACGTCTGAAGCTTTGGAATATCCTTGCTTCTTGCGTAATAACTCAGGTGACATGTATGCTAGTACTCCGTAGAGTGTACATTTTTCTTTGGACGCCACAAATTTATTCACAGGTCTACAAAGCCCCAAGTCTGTGATAAATGTTTTCACGGTGCCATCATTGAATGTATGCTGCAATATATTTCCACTGTGAAAGTCTCGGTGTATAAGATCCACATCGTGTATTCCCTCAAGGCCTAGTGCTATATCACAAAGCATCCTCAGTTTTTGACCCCAGGTAAGTAGAGATAAATTTTCACAGAGGTAATTACGCAAATCACCCCCGTTTGCATACTGCATCACTAACATGTAGTTTCTGGTTTCTCTGTGTTGTGTAATACCATAGCAGCGAAGGATAAGGCCATTACGACATTTATAATGTGATTTTAACTAAATTTAATTAAATGAAAACAATTGGTGTGTGTTAACTTTCCGCATGAATAACAGGAACCATTTGCGTTATTTTTTATCAGGCGAAATTAATTACTTCATTCAAGAAATCTGCACTGATATTCTTAGAGTCGTATAGGCATTTCAAGGCTACTGGAGTTCTTGCTTAATTAACACATAAATATAGAATTTAAAGATTTATCGATTTCTGCAAAATCTCTAGGTTAAAGTTCTTTTCCGCATACCTGTTATTTTCCAAGTATGTTCTTCTTTGTCGTACACCAAAATCTTATTGGGTCCATTGGTCCAAACTGCATAGTATACGTCCCCAAATCCTCCCTTAGCCAAAAATTCTACATCTTCAAACATTTCATAATCTATCCATACCAAATAGTCAGTTTTGCTGTTGGCTCTACGTTGAGTGTCCCTTATGAATTCATTAAGATCTGGATTTCCACTCGTCCAGTTTGAGAAATCCATTGAAAGTTTCTGTGACTCGCAGTATTGACACCAACGATCATCTTTTCTTGGTTGCTTGCAGGTCGAACACAAGAAATCAACGTCAAGCTCACTTTCCGAAGACGAGGCGCTATTTGTAATATGATATTGAGACGAATCTATGTTTATGCTGGAGTCGAGTTTAGAGGATTGGGGTGTAATTGATGAAAATGACGAATGAGATGTGGGAGCCGTACTAATAGAAGACGGGCGTAATTTTGAGAATGATTGAACACCGAATGATACGCTGGACGCTAGTGAGCTTGACGACATTGTGGATTGAGAAAGGATATCATCGGTGTGTTCCATACTTAAAATAATTGTGGTAAAAAATTTGTGAAGACCAAAGTTGATTAAAGATTATTTAAAGACTTTGGAATACAACAGATTGGCATTGTACATAAAACTTACTAAATACTGTAAGTAGATTTCACAAAATGCTGCGATTTTTATGCACACCATAAAAGATATTCCATTAATCCGCACACAAAACATGTACTGCGGTACATGCATAAGTATATAACAGAGAAGAGACGATCTGATCTATTTATGCTTCTGTTGTTGAATGCTTAAACCAGACTGCTTTTCAAATGTGATCATAATTACTGTTCAAATGGAAAAGGTCAAGTTATTCTTGAACTTTGATTAATGTTAAGTCCAGGTAGTATCACGCGAATATTAGTTTAAAATTAAATAAATACAAAATAAGAAATTATTTATTTTATTGCAAGTGTAATTTTTAGGTTTTTATATTTTTATTAAAATTATAAGTTTTACCAATTTTATTTATAATTTTATTTAATTCAAATCTTGTATTAAAAATTATTGTTTTTAGTATATATATATATATACCTATATTTCTAATTATAGTATTATTAAATATCAATATATTTATTATTTTATAATTAAAAAATAAATAATACAATTTAAATATTATATTAATATCAAACAATTCTTATATGGTAATATACCTATCAGTAAATATATAGATAATATATATATATATTTTTATAGTGGAACATGTGCAAGGCATGTAATCTTTATTGATAAGATAATATATAATTTTTAAATTCTTAATATCAAAATTATTATATTATCTATATAATTCAATTATTTATTAACTATTTTATATATAAAAATAAATTTATTAAATTATTATTATATAATATTAATTATATAAAACTTTTAATTTTTTTAACTTTTCAATTATAATTTTAAATAATAAAAAATTATTTTTTTAAAAAAAAAAATAATAGAAATATTATATACTCAATTTAAAAAACCATAATTGGTTTAATTTAAAATTATTACTTTAATATAAATTTATAATTATTTTAAAAAGGATTTTTTTTATATTGTTAAATTAAAATTGATATTATAATTATAATACAATTCTTAATTTTTTAATAATTTTAAACAAAAATTTAAATAAGTTTATAAAGATACAATATAAAAAAAAAATTCAAATTTAATAAGTTTATATAATTTGAACAATGCAGAATATATAAATAAAAATATTTTTATATAATTATTTTAAGTTTTTTTTTATTTTTATTAAGGTATGTGTATAAATTTTAAAACATATAAAGAAAATATATAATAATAATATAAATATTATTATTAAAATATAAGATTTCTAATAATACTATTTTAATATTAAATTAAAATATTTTTAAAATATTATAAATCCAAGTCTTTTAAAATATTTAATTGTATTATAGACTATGGTTTTTTTAAGCTTAATATTTTTAATAATAGTTTTATAAAAATTACTATTATTGTATTTATTAATAATTTTTTTATATTATATATTAATATTTTTCTTTTAAAAATTTTTTGAAGCTTTAAATAGTTATATTAAATAATTATTATAAAATTAAATTTCTTAATTATATATTTATTATATTTTAGAAAAAAACTAGTCATTATTTTGTAACTCTAATAATTTGTAACAATAATTTACAAAATGAACTGTATATAGCATATGGACAATTGTTTAATTTTTGATATTACTTTTCTATATACAAAACTTTATAAAACATTTAAAAAACTTAAGGTCTAAAAAAAATTGATATTATTAATATTATTAATACCTTCTTTATAACAAAAATAATTGTTGAAAAAAATTTTATAATTAAAAATCTTAATTCATTATAATAAAAATTATTTAAATTATAATATAATTAATCGAATTAATACAAAACATATAAAACTTTAAAATAAATTTTATTACCTTATAAAAGCATTCATATTTATTAGTAAAAATTGACTTGTAATATATATATATTGTAAGAGGGACCAAAAAAATTAGATAGATTCAACATATGTCATCCTCGCCCAATTGGGGTTTAATTGG